AAGCGGCCTCCGCAGACCTGAGGCGCCTGAGCCTCTTCGAGAAGTCTGATGAGTTGGACAACCTGGTGGTGAGGGTTGCATCCGAGGCAACCGAGCATGAGAAGACACGCGTCGCACTGAAGTCGAGGAAACAGGGCTTGGACGATGCACGGAAGGCCCTGGAAGATGCAATGCGCTGCATATTGAGTATACGAAATGATATAGAGAGCACCACTCATTCTTGCAGGCACGACATAAATGAAACGGACCCTGAGCCGATGTGCATTCAAGCCGCAGGGTGTCCTTTCAAATCGGATGATGTTCCGATCGCGGCAGGCAACAGTTCACTTGTAGACGCCTTTGCAGCATGCGCGAACGATTTGTGCATCCTAGCCAAATCTCAAAGCCTGCGCAGGGCCCCTACATTCGATTCGCCAGACTTTGCTTAGTGCCGGAAACGCGCCCAAGCATGCAGACGAGGATGACCGGAATCAGCACTCACATTCCTTGGTTGATTCTGACCGCCACCATTTTGACATTCGCAAAGTATGAAATATTGGCCTGACACAAGCCGCTCTCTCATCCTGCAGCGCCTCCCGCTCACGGTGAGGCGGGAGATAGACATCCGGAAGCTTCTGAGATCCATCGTAGGCCACTGGGATGCAATCACACAGATTAAGTGCCCTCCCGGCAGCTCTTACTGCTGGGTAGAATTGCAGACGCCCGAGCTCGCCTCCGAGGTTCTAAACAGCTTTCTGGCAGACAGGGATGTACTGCAAGGTGCATATCTACGAAGGCCTTTCGAGTTCAGGAGCCCGGCAGGGCAGCAGGAGGACCCCGACTCCATCCTCCCCACAACACCGGAATTGGAGAAGAGATACAGGGAGTTTCTTGAGATCCTTTCCCCGAACTGGCAATCAGAGGCGCTGCCATATAAATGTATCGTATAGTGAGCTGGTGGACGCCTGGTCCTTGGAGTAGTTGGCAGGGTAGTCGTAGTCTTTGAATGAGTGCCAGCTCCTCAGTGGTAGGCCTCCCTCCATTGCAGAAGATACGAAAGTCTCCGGGTCGAATAGAGGCTCTGTGATGGACGTCCCGGGCTGGTCGTAGTATCTAGTTCTGGATTTCATAGACACCCCTAGGGTGCCCCCTGTAGACACTATATCAACATTTGAGTCCGTTGTGGTATCTCCCATGCTCCAACACTTTCAGCACCTTGTCCCCATTCATTACTGCGCCAATGAATGTCGATGCTTGATCTCTCAGGTGTCGCGTCAAGAGCTCTATCAGCCCCTGATGCGGAACCAGATACTGCACCGCAAAATTACACATGATGATGTCGAACCTCTCCCCAGCTAGGATGTCAGATATAGCATGAAAGTTGCTGCAGTCTATAGCCGGCTTTATGTCGACGTCCATGCGTGTCGAAATTGTGCTGCTGCGTCTCAGCGCTTCCTCCAAAGCCATGGCATCCATGTCGAGGGCCACCACCCTGCCTATACGGCGGGATCGGGCTAGCTTCTGAACATCTCCCATCACCCCACATGCGAGGTCCAGCACGACCAGATCATTTCCATCCCTCGCCATATGCAGCGCATCATGCAGAAGTCGCTCCTTGACTTTATTGTGGAAGCGGCGGAGTTGTTCCATGCTTGTGAAGTATACCGCTCACCATGCATTGTCAAGCCCTAAATGACAGAATTGAAAGCCTTTGGAGGTTGGGGGTTAGTTCTAGTAATTCAAATGTACGGGGCTTTGGTCGCCCTTCGCTGGAGCTTGGACGGCCCAGAGTTCAACAGTTATGTGGACAACCGCATCACAGCTGAGAATACAGGCTGGATGATTTCATCGATTGTGCTGACGATTACAGCAGTGTGCATAAGCTGCCCATCCACCCAGATCAGCAATAGTGGTCTAGTGGAGCTGAATGTATGGATACCGATGGATCAATCACTAGACAAACTACGACAAATCGAAGTCTATCTAGGCTAAGCATGGCATATCTACCATGGCTCCATCTTGCAGTGCTCCCCAGGGAACAATATCTCGCAGGGCGCGGAGGAGGATGTTGCGCGCTCCGTTGTGGTCCCTGCCTATCACCAAGTCACATGCCCGGCACTTGTAGATCTTTGCGGTGCCCAGATCCCTCCTCATGGCCCCGCACCGCCCGCATGTCATGCTCGTGTAGTGCTCCGAGACCACCATCACCTTCACTCCTCGCTCAGCGGCTTTGGCTATCAGTCGCTGTCTAAACTTGTAATGGGAGAGAAGGCTCAGCCCCCTCACTGTCTTGCTGCCTATCTTGCGTTGAAAGCGACGGCTCATCTCCCTCGTCTTGAACTCCGGTATAAGAATGACCTTGGCCGTCCTCGTGAGGAACTCCACGCCCTTGTAGTGCATCTCGTCCCGCAGGTTCTGCAACTTTCGTCGTGTTTTCAATATTCGGAGTGCAAAGGCCCTCTTGGCCCTCCTGTACTCCTTCGGGATGCGGGCTCGGAAGGAGAGCAACTTGTCCAGCTGCAGTGCCAACGAGTGGAGACGGGTGGCGGACCCGTTGCCCAGCTCGTAAACCGCATTGGGTGTGTAAACGGCCTGGAAGGTCCGAACTCCGGGGTCCAGAGAGGCGACCGATTCTCTGATCTCGCTCGCAAGTGAGCCCGCGGCATAAGTGGTCTTTCGTGTGTAAGGCACCAAGAGGTAGTACCGGGCTCCGTTGAACTGTATCTTGCAGTCCTTCTCGATCGGGCCCATCCTTCCCAGAGTCTCGAAGTCCCAGGCTCCGTAGCTGCCATAGATCTGGAGCCTCCGCTCACCCCGTACCTTGATCGCGGTCTTCGGAATCTCTATGGTCCAGCCATTCGCGTCCTCCTCCTTCTTCGCTTTGAACGACATTCTCAAAGTGCTGGATGTTGCCGTTCCGGAGGTTGGTGAAAGCGGCCTTGGCGTTCTTGGCCGCTTCGAATACAGCTCCGGCCCTGATATCCTTGGGGGTGTCGAGAAGCCAGGGCACGTGGCCACACACCTCCTGGGGGGTGATGAGATCGCGAAGGTAGTGTTTGTGGAAGACGGATGTCTCGTTCATGAGAAACACCGCCTTGTTGTAGCTGTACCTAGCTCCGTGCCTCCAGGCGTCGAGCAGCCTCTTCTGGCTTCGGCTCGGGAGCAGTCTGATCTTCCTGGTCCTTCTTAGTTCCGGCTCTCCCTCGGTAGCGGCGCTTTCCGTTCCATCTGCAAGCGAACACCTGAACGACCGCAAGCACGTCCTCTGCGAGCTCTGCCTCCGGGGACTTATCGTCTTGGTCGAGAACCACGAGGTCGACACCGTGTCTCTGGAAGTTCCATGAGAGTAGATCGAATCCGAAACGGCACAGTCGGTCCTTGCTGGCAACAACGAGAAGAATGGTCTGATGTTTCGAGAGAGGCTCGCGTCGGTTCTGGACTCTGGCTTCCGAGGCGCACAGGACTTTGGCAAGGCCTTGATTGCTGGCAAGAAAAGACACTGGAGAGAGTTCCCACTGCGAGCCATTTGAGCGCCATTTAGGGAGGCCCAAGGCCACGCTTTATGCCAGAGGTCTGCAACGATGAATTCAACCGGGGGGACGACTGCGCCTCTTCCGGTTCCAACCCCGACGACAACCCCGTTGCCTGCCAGTCCGACAAAGACCCCAATCGCTCAACCGAATAGCACCCCTGCACCGAGCGAAACAGACGAGCCTCTCATGACCGATTCGCCTACGCAAACACCCCAGCCTCCATTCCCTACCCAAGACATCCTACCCCTACCTGCAAAAACTCCCCAGCCTGTCGTGACTCAAACACCTCAGTCTGTCGCGACTCCGTTTCCGACTCAGACACTCCAGCCGATCGCAACTCAGACACCCCAGCCGATCGTGGCTCAGACACCCCAGCCGATCGCCAATCCTTTCCCAACTTAAACACCCCAGCCGATTGTGACTTCTTTCGCGACTCAGACACCCCAGCCGATCGCGAATCCTTTCCCAACTCAAACACCCCAGCCGATCGTGGCTCCTCTCCCAACTCAGACACCCCAGTCGATCGCGAACCCTCTCCCCACTCAAGCAATCCTGCCCTTATCCACTCGAACCCCCCAGCCTCTACCAACTCAAGCACCCCAGCCCTTCGTAACTTCTTAGGCTACCCCGGCGCAGCCTTTCACCACTGCACCTTCACAAACTGTGGGGGCGAACCTCCCCCCTTCCCTAACTTCCGTGCCTGTGCAGGTTCAGAAGGAGCCCCCGCCCGGACCGTCAGTAGCACATGTGACGGGTACTTCGCTCAGTGCGACTGAGAAGGGGCTCGTTGTGTGTGGAGCGACCTTGGGGGCGGTCCTCATAGTGGCCCTCCTTAACATGCTCTACAGGGTCGTTAAGAGAGTCCTTAAGGGGAAGCCGTTGATCGCTTCTATGCGAAGCCGGTCCCAGCACGACGAATTCCCAACTTTTGTCGACAGCCAGGCGTACGAACTTCAGCTCTCTGCACGTTCCACTTATGGGCCGGAGCCATTCACGATTGGTGACCTGAGGCTGGCAACGGACAACTTCTCCGAGGAAAGGGTGCTGGGAGAGGGAGCCTTCGGGAAGGTGTTCAAGGGCCTGCACAAGAAGAAGCCAATTGCTGTGAAGCAGATGCGGATTCACAGCGGGGGCGATGCGGACAGAGAATTCAGGTCCGAGCTGGAGGTCATCTCGAGGGTCCACCATCGCAACCTAGTCAAGCTGCTGGGGTTCGTGGTCGAGGAGGACCAGCGCTACTTGGTCATGGAGTTTATTCCCAATGGCACACTGTATGCAGCTCTGCATCCTAAGCTTTCGGACGATCCTCTGGACTGGGCTTGCCGCAGGACGGTGGCAATTGGGATTGCCCGGGGCATGGCGTACCTGCACGACGACTGCTACCCGCGAATCATACACAGAGACCTGAAGAGCAGCAACATCTTACTGGACAACCGATACGAGGCACAGGTCGCGGATTTCGGGCTTGCCAAGCAAGATGAATTCAGCGCAACCCAGACACACCTGTCTACCAGGGTCATGGGGACATTTGGCTACATGGATCCTGCTTATGCTAATACGGGGCGCCTCACCGAAGAGAGCGACGTTTACAGCTTCGGTGTGGTGCTCTTGGAGCTGATCAGCGGACGCAAGGCAGTGGACATTACCAAACCTCCTGGCAAGCAGAGCCTTGTGGAGTGGGCGCGTCCCCTGATCGAGAAGAAGATGACCTTTCAATTGGCAGACTCTCTGCTCGACAGCGAGTACGATGAGGGGGAGTTGCGGACGATGATACAGGTCGCCTCCAACTGCACCAATGCACTGCCCAATAGGAGGCCCGGAATGAAGGAGGTTCTTGCTATCCTCCAGGGCGCCTCCATGGAGCAACAGGCGCCTGCGGGGCAGCTCACTCCGGTGTCCGAGGAGATTTCTTCTGTCATGTCCGGCCCGTTAAATGCATCCGATTTGGGTGCCCGCCTCGCCCGTCTTCAATCGGAAGAGGATCCCTACAACCAGACCGTCATAGATCCGGAGCGGTTCAGTACGGGTAGGTAGCTACAACGACGAGATCGCGCCGAAGATCACGCCAACAGCAACTAATGCCAAATCCAAGGACCAGATGGTCCCTCCGGAGTCTACCACCACCTGTAAGGGCGGCGGTAATCTTGCAGGCAGGGGGGCTGGACCGGGACGACGAGGCTGCCCCACTGGAGATGCAGGGGTGAGCATCTCAGGTTTGGAAGGCGCCAGGATAGCTGTTGGGTTTGGATCAGGCGCCAGGATAGCTGTTGGATTTGGAGTGTCCAGAATAGCTGGGGTTTCCGTAAGATTGGGATAAGCGGTTTGTTCCGGGGGAGCGGTCGGCATAATGGGATACTCGATAGGGGTTTTAGGGTTTTAGGGTTTTAGGGTTGCCTGAGCCCGCGTTGCTGCAAGTGACCAAGTTCTACGATGCGCTGGTCGTTGCAAAGAAAAGTTGACTGCTCTTGGTAACTACCATGCTTGTTCCTATACCTACAATGACGTTGAGTGCATTGTCTTGAAAGGCAGTGGAGACATGCCGCAACAGGCGGCACGGTCCTGAGGAGACGGTAATCATGGACAAGAAGAATCCGTTGCTGCAATGCTGCTGGTGTAGCTTATCGGCCACGAACGAGATGCCATGGCATGCAACGTATGAGCTCGCTGCGTGCATCGTAAGAACAAAAATCTTACATGGTATACCTATAGCTAATCGTGCAAAGCCCATCGCCCTTTAGTCATCATGAGTACACAAAACACACATGCACCGAGACGCAATGGGCGCGTCGTGGAGGTTCCAGGTGATGGCAGCTGTCTTTTCCACAGCGTGTTTATTGCATTCCACTCCCTGCACTCGGGGCACCCAGTTGTGATCAACGACGAGCGGCTCCTCGTCCAGGCTTCATTGAAGCTGCGACATGCCGCGGTCGATTACGTACTCGAGCACTACAGGAAGCCTCTAGGCGGCATCAAGGGCAACCTGACTGGGCGCGACCTCGTGCTCCTAGAGTATGGATCCGACGGCGTAGACGGCGAGGAGAGCGTGAAAGGTCCGCTCACATATGCAAGAAAGATGAGGGATGGCAATACATTTGGGGGCAATACTGAGCTTTGTGCGTTGAGCGCCATTCTAAAAGTGGCAGTCGTCGTGGAACAAGCGGCCGGTAAACCACACGTAATTGACACTCTCGCTGGTCCGCAGATGGACAGTGGCTCTTTGCGAGCCGGGGTTCCTATCCTGCGACTGCTGCTAGTCTCACAGCACTACCGACCTATCCTGCCTACCTGAAACTGGATCCGGATATCTCTTCGTTGACCCTTCTGATCAGCTCCTCGTGTCTCTGCCACATGTGCATTGGCGCCTTCCACACGAACCCCTGAAGCGGGCAATAGATTGCAATGTTGTCGACCTTCAGACCATTCAGGCGAGCCAGGCTGAGGTAGCACATCAACTGCAGCACCCATGCCGCCTGGATGCCGCCCTTTTCCGAACTGCATTTGATGTCATAAACGGTATCTCCGATCACCATGTCGGCGACTCCCCGGAGCGACTTCGTTGAGAGGTCGATGTCCAAGCCGACCCTGAATGTCCCCAGCATCAGCTCAGGGGTCACCACATCTCCGGCGGCAAAGTGGCGTAGTGTTCCAATAGCCCTCCTGGTCTCGAAATGAGAGGCCATAATCCCATTTACCAGACGCCTGGTGCAAGAGAAGAGTCCCAGATTCTTGTCTTTCACCAAATCCCCCAGGTGCAGCTCCGAAAAGACATAGTGAGTCTTGGCGGGCGGATATGCCAGGTGGGCGCATACAGCCACGTCGGCAATGGTCTTGAGAGCATGTGTGCTCTCTGTGTCGTGGTCAAAATTCACATATCGCTTGTAGCTTTTTCCGATGCGCTCCACAGCGGCTGCAAAGCGAGCCGTCCTCTTGTGAGCATCGTCCTTGGAAGGCCTCGCGAACGAAGGAAGACTTCGATTCTCGTAGTGCACCGCCACGTGGCTCTCGGGTAGCTGGAACTCTGCTGCTTTGTTGCGGATCAAGTTCCGAACGTCCTGTTCCGTGGGCTCACGCAAGCGCCAATCATCTTCGAACGCCTTTGTCCACAGGAAGCACATATTTGCGAAATGGTCCGTCATCTTCACCTCGTCACTCGACCCGCTCTCTCGAAGGCACGCTGACAGTATCTGTCTGTATATCACTCTCTCTATCACGGAGCCATACAGTGCGTTCACGTCGCCTGTGTATGGAAACGTGTGCACTCCGTGAACCCTCTCCAGGGTAGCGCCTGGAAACCCCGGGGTAGGAGTCCGCTCGACTTTGCGGTGTCGAAGAAGAGTCCTGGTGCGTGCCTGACGAAGTGGGTGACCGAGCGATTCGGGGGAATCGACTCTCCGCAACCGTCACCGAAGATGCCAAAGATGGGGCTCGCAGACTTGGGGTCGCCCATGTCCACCTTGAAGCGAGAGGACTTCACGGGGAATATCATCCGAGAGATGCACCTGCTGCCGCTCGTGATCACGAGGATGTCCTTGGCCCTGGAGCAAGCAACGTAGTACAGCTGTGCCTCCTGCTGCAGCTCGTCGGGTGTGAGGAATTTGTTGAACGAGTCTGTGCAGCCCGTCACGATCACGACCCCAAACTCCAGCCCTTTTGCGCCATGGAACGAGCTGATCGTGAGAGGGTCCCCCTCTCGATGTTTGTGGCTGCTCTCTACGGCGTCGCCGGTACAGATCTTCGTGGGTAGGCCCATCTCGGTGAACTTGTGTGCAAGTGCATATGCCTCCCTCTGCGTCCTGGACAGGATGGCTATGTCCCCAAGCACGCGCCCCATGTCAGTCACATAGGACTGCACGAGATCTGCCACGAAGCGAATCTCCTCTGACCGCTCCTCAAACACACAGAGCCTCGGCAGCCACGAGGGAAAGTCGCGAATCGTTGCCATTGGGGGCATGCTCCTGTCTGGGCGCATGTCGTTGCAAAAGTCCACAATGGTCTGGGTGCTCCTGTAATTGTTGTTCAGATAGAAAGTGATCGAAGGGTATGTGCCCAGGGTGTCCACTCTGTCCATCAAGTCCGAGTCTGACTTTCGGAACTTGTAGATACCCTGACATTTGTCCCCGACCATGAAGATGCGTGTTCTGAACCTTTTCACGAGCAGCTCGATTACTCGAAATTGCGTCGCGTCCAGATCCTGGCTCTCGTCGACCAGCAGGTAGTCCGGGATCAAGTCCCTGATTGGGGCTGCGATATCAACCTCGTCACCTGCGGCCTCAAATGCCCTCAATAGCCGGTAAATGTGCTCGTCGCAGAAGAAGACCTCTGCCTCCGCATTCTGGAAGACTGACTCCTTCTCGTCGGGCAGATAGGACACGTCTAGGTCCTCCGCAGAGTCCGTCGACCATGCACATGCAGCAGGCACGTACCTGAGGCTGTTGTGCAGGATCGGTTCGAATGCCTCGGCAATCTCGAGACACAGGCTGTGGATGGTCTGCGCCTTGACCACGCCTTGGAGCCTGGAGCCCACATCTGCAGCCGCATGCCTGCTGAAGGTGACGACTCGGATGGCTGACGGTTTCACTCCAAAGTGCTCGATCAAATGGCATGCCCTCTGAACCAGGACACGGGTCTTGCCACTTCCTGGGCAGGCTAGAACCTTGATGTGGACGTTCTGGGGTGCCACGACGATCTCTCGTTGCCGCGGGTCGTTGTAGGAGGACTCCATTATCGTGTGCAAATTGGCGAGGGTGAAGCCTCCCTAAGCCAACGAATCACGGCCGGCCCGGGGGAGAACTGGAATAAAAGTTTTGGGAGGGATAGCAAGTAACCTTGTTGGGCAAGTCGAGAAGCACCTGTTTTCCAAGCCGGACGGTTGCGGCAAACACCTCGCGCAATGTTGGCAGCTGTTCGATACCGTCGGAGCTGCGGCCTCGGCCCTCAGCTGCGGACAGCACTGCCTTTGAACTGAACCAATCTATCTCGGATTTTTCCTGGTATCGTCTATGGCACTTGATGTAGCGCAGGAACTTGATCGCCTTTGCAAAGCTGGAAGTGTGGTGAGACGCGTATGTGATATATATACAGTACATGATGTAGGGGGAGAGGCCCATCGTTTTCGACCGAATTGCAACATGGCAACTGGGATCATGTAGCCGTGCCCCGACTTCATCCAAGTCGAGGATCATACCTGCAGACTCTTCCAAAAACTCTCGAGAAGCGGTATTCTTGGGTTCATTGCCGTCTTGCTCTTCGGCCCTCCCACCAAAGTCTGAATGTGTACCATCCGATCGGTCCCTGCCGAGCAGAAAGTAGACTTCACCGTTTTTAATGGTGAAGGGCAGGATTCCCGCGCTGTAGATCATGTGCAGTATGTTTGTGGCAGGGGTTGATGACTCCTCGGGAGTGCATCTTACATAAACCCCAAGTTTTTAAAGTCCACACATCCGACGGGGATTGCCCAATTCAATTTTCTTCCTCCACAAGTAGCAACGATCCAATGAAGGCGTTCATGAACCCATTTCTCCTGTATGCCCTGGTCTGCTTGCTACGCATAACTCGAATGAAGTATCAAGAGCGACTGCGGCAAAAGTTCTACGGCATCGAGGAGGAGGAAGGCGGCTGTCCTGCAGAATCCTCACGGAAATCCTTTTGGGACCAGATCATCCGCGGCAAAAACCACTGACCGACCTTGTACGCTATTTAGGACACGTCGCGCGTTCGGGGTGGGTAAAAAAATCCTAGCCTTCTTTATACATCTATGATGACCATGGATATGATTGTACTAACCTCCTCACCCCCCTCCTCGGATGGAGGTGAGAGGGAACTCAGCCCAAAGAAGGACATTTCAGACTTATGCGCCAAAAGAGGCGTGAACAGGCAATCAGTTGAAGCTTGTCTGAACACGTTCACGCCTCCGGACTCCGAACAGATCCGCATTAGGAGCATGGACCTACACATAGCAGCTCTCTCGCACAAGTCTGTGGCCAAGGAATATCAAAGCCGCCATGGAAACAACGAGCGTTTGGAGTTCCTTAGGGACTCCGTTATAAACCTGGTGGTGACGAAGTACTTGTATGATCGGTATCCGGAGAAGGCAGAGGGCTTCCTCACACGGATACGCACCAAGCTCGTACGAAGCTCGTGCCTGGCCTCCTGGGCCCGCGATATTGGGCTACACGAGCTGATCATGATGAGCTCCAAAGCCCTCGTTGAGGGTTGGAACACGAACACGAAAAAGCTCGAGGACGTTTTCGAGGCAATCGTAGGAAGTCTCTTCCTGGACGTGGGCATCGCTGCATGCAAGCGGCTGCTGTACCCCATGCTGGACAGGGTCGACTACCTGGACGTCGAGGAGGACACTAACTGGAAGGACCTCTTACTTCGGAAGATGCAGGCCGTGCATTCGTACATGGTCACCAACCAGCTGAACATGAGTCAGTATGGCACGGAGACGCTTCCTGCGTATGTGCTGATAGGGACGCGCGGGTCTCAGCACTCGAAGATGTTTGCCATAACCGTCACCGTGGCTGGCGCCCCCGTCGGGCAAGGCGAACATACTCGCAAGAAAGAGGCAGAACAGTTGGCTGCTAAGATGGCACTAGACACCATAGCAGCTTACGGACTACCTAACATCCCTAGCAGGCTCGGTTACAGCGTGACCGTTCCCACTGGAATAGTGCAGCCCACCTAAGAGACGACACGTTGCGTAATGATTTGGAAAGAAGGAGTCACGGTCTTGGAGCTCCCATTGGGGCTGAATGATGGTTTCTTGTTGTACTTCTTCACTAGCGCATCATATGTGCACGCACATTCGCCTCGCTTAGCGCTCTTCTCGGACAGGGTGATCCTGGCAGAAGTGACCTGCTTGTCCTCTTTGAAGAGCTTCGTCATAATCTTCTTCACGACCACGCTCGGCTGTGGGCCTTTTACTTTCTTTATGTCTTTTCCTAGCGTGCTGACCACGTCGGTTCCGTCGGAAGAAACGATGCTGACGACTTCGAACGACCGCTGAGGATGCGAAGGCTGGGCCTCCGAGGACGAGTCAACAGCTGCAGGTTGCTCTGCGGCAGAGGGGGCGTCAGATTTCTTAACCATAATACCTTGTAAAGAATATAGGAATATTTAGAGTGTTTCCAGACGCATGCTATGGATAGAATCAAGCGAATACTAAGCCGACCCATGCACGGATTGAGTTCGATCCGGAAACGACCCAAACCCCAACCTCGTCAGGATCCTGTATCTGGGCGTTTCCGGCACCTGCTCGCTGGTTTGGAAAAGTCTCCATATAAGGAGGCCTCTAGCAGAGATCTGGACAGACATTCTTTTTGCGAGCTCCAGCGCGTTTTCACCACACAAGTTTCCAGCCTCCAGATCACTGAATCCACCATGTACGTAGTGAAGAGAAGCGGGAAGCAGGAGGCTGTGAGCTTTGATAAGATAGGCCGCAGGCTGAACCAGCTCAGCTACTCGGTGTTTGAACCGTATGGTGCACTGTGTGCTGAGTTTAGCCACTATGTCATCGACGATGACCTGTTGGTGAACGGAGGCCCCTTGAAAGCAATAGATCCAATCAGGCTCACCCAGAAGGTGTGTGCGGCTGTACACGATGGAATTACCACCACCGAGCTTGACACCCTGGCTGCGGAGCACAGCGCGCACATGCAGACTCTGCACCCCGAGTATGCTGTACTCGCGTCAAGGATTGAGGTCAGCAACGTGCACAAGGTGACGCCAGATACTCTGCGGGAGGCAGTGAAGAAGCTGGAGTTCAGACTCAACCCCGTTTTCTCCAACCTACTGCTGACTGACGACGATCTGGCCCGCACCCTCGAAGACGCCATCGACTATCGGAAGGACTACGCCTATGACTACTTTGGCATCAAGACCATGCAGAAGCTGTACCTTCTCAAGGACGAGGAAGGGAAGCTGGTGGAGAGACCTCAGCACCTGCTCATGCGGGTAGCTGTGTGGGTGCACCTGGACTTGGTCGAGAAGACAGTCAACGTACCGGCCGTCATCGAGACCTACCGCCTCATGTCTGAGCGGTTTTACACCCACGCCACCCCCACTCTCTTCAACGCCGGCACCAAAATCCCCCAGATGTCCTCGTGTTTTCTCGTGGGGACCTTGGGCATCCGCGAGCAGGACTCGATCGTGGGGATGTACGATGCGGTGAAAGAGATTGCATACATCTCCAAGCTGGCTGGGGGCATCGGCATGCACGTACACGAGGTGAGGGCCCGTGGTGCACACATCCACGGAACGAATGGCAAGTCCAGTGGACTCGTGCCCTACCTGCGAGTACTCAACAACGTCAGCCGGCACGTGGACCAGGCGGGGGTGCGGAAGGGGGCCATAGCCATCTACCTGGAGCCATGGCACGCCGACGTGGAGGCCTTCCTGGAACTGAGGAAGAACACTGGCGTGGAGGAGGAGAACACCAGGGACCTGTTCACGGCGCTATGGGTGCCAGACCTCTTCTTCCAGCGGGTGGTCGATGACGAGGACTGGAGCCTGTTCTACCCAAGCGAGGCGCCGGGGCTCAGCGACCTGTACGGGGACGACTTCAAGGAGTTGTACGAGAGGTACGAGACCTACGGCATCGCTCGGAAGGTGGTGAAGGCCAGGAGCCTGTGGGAGAAGGCCCTGCGTTCGCTGATCGAGACCGGGACCCCGTACATCAGTGCCAAGGACGCGCTGAACAAGAAGTCCAACCAGAAGAACCTCGGGACCATCAAGAGCTCCAACCTCTGCAACGAGATCACTCTCTTCAGCGACCCCAAAGAGACAGCCGTGTGCACCTTGGCGTCGGTGGCCCTCAGCAAGTTTGTGAAGTATGGGCAGCTGGGGATCTACTTCGATTTCGCCGAGCTGCACGCGGTGGTCAAGACGGTGGCCAGGAACCTGGATCGGGTCATAGACCAGTCCATGTACCCCGACGTTCCAAACGGAGAGCCCAAGTGCGAGCGGAGCAACAAGGCGCACCGACCCCTAGGTATCGGAGTGCAGGGCTTTGCCGACACCCTCTATGCTCTCCGGCTACCCTTTGACTCCGAGGGGGCCCGGGAGATCAACATCAAGATCTTCGAGACCATGTACCACGCCGCTGTGGAGTCCAGCTGCGAGATGGCCCTGGAGCTGGGCAAATATTCCTCGTTCGAGGGATCCCCCGCCAGCGAGGGGCTCCTCCAGTTCGACCTGTGGGATGTCAAGCCCAGCAAGGTACCCAGCGTGCACCCGGCATGCAAGGACGCCCGGATCTTCGACTGGGACGCGCTGAAGGAGGAGGTCAAGAAGCACGGCCTCCGCAACTCGACGCTCATCGCCCTCATGCCAACCGCGAGCACAAGTCAGCTTCTGCAGAACTCGGAGTCGTTTGAGGTCCCCACCGGCATGCTCTACAGCCGTAAGACATTAGCCGGAGAGCACGTGGTAAGTCATTTGCAACTTCAACTCTCGTCCACGACAGCACACATTCATGCTAATGGTGTTTCTTTTATCTTTCTGATGCACAACCCTCCAGATGCTGACCCCAGTAACTTCTTTCGTGCAGATCCTCAATCGGTGGTTGGTCCGGGACCTCGTGCGGAGGGGCATGTGGTCCGTCCTGGTGAAGGATTCCATCCTGGCGAGTGGCGGGTCCGTTCAGAACATCGAGGCTCTGGACGAGGAGACAAAGCAGCTGTACAAGACCACGTGGGAGATCAAGCAGAAGCCTTACATCGACCTTGCGGCAGACCGTGGCCCTTACGTCTGCCAGAGCGCCTCGCTCAACCTCTACCAGCGCGAACCCACCCTCACGCAGCTCAACTCCATGCTCATCCACGCCTGGCGCCGAGGGCTGAAGACACTTGTATACTATCTCAGGACCCGGTCTGCCAGCAACGCCACCCAGTTCACAGTAGACAGGCACGCTCTGGACCATGCTTTGAATCAGCAGGCAAGGCTGGAGGACGCAAAGGACACGGTATCTTTGGCAGAAACAGATTCTGAGGACGAGAATGAGGTGGTAGCTTTGCCGGCCTGTAGTGCAGACAACTCTGATTGCCTAGCGTGCTCTTCTTAGGAGATATACACATTAAACACCGAATCTCGAATAGGGTAGGGCTTGGGCCACCTCCGCGCACTTCCAGTTTTGCGTGAAGTGCCCCCATGTACCGGTCTGCAGAAGATAGACTCGGCTCGAGTCTGAAGCACAATTGACCGTCGCGTATGCCTGTAGTAGCAACTGATTCCGATCGAACATCATTCCAACAAGTTGACTTCCTGGCTTCCTCAAATGCACCAACCTGTCCAGTGTTTTCTGAGAAAGCTGCTCATATGGCCCGCTGTAAGGTATAATACAGACACATAGCAAGAGTTGTGAAGCCGCTCCAACAATCAGGTCGTCTTCTGCATATTCGTTGATCTTAGCCTGTAAAAGACTGATGGCGTTTCTTCTACGCTCCTTCTCCTCATCATATAACATTAGTACATGGTCTCTGCTTATTCTACTCTTATTCTACTTCTAGCTGACCAGTGAGACGACAAACCCACATCCCGCATTTGTTCAACAATAGTGCACATTGTTGTCATTTTGTGTTTCAAATTGTCGCCAATAGAAAGAAGCAGGTCGCTAGCTTGTTGTTCGATGGGAGGTTGAGACAAACAACAAACGAGCAGGCCCACCAGTTGATCGATATATGGGGTTATGTCGACGTTGCTCAGACACTTGGCCAACGTTGTGAGCATCCCAGACGAGACCAAACGAGTTTCGAGGTGGGCAAGTGCAATGATGAACGGCTTGATTGTTTCTCCCTTGACAGAATTCTCGTTCAACGACAACAATACCGCGGTGGCTTGACTGGAGTTCTCCGCCAAGTACTTCAAAGCCAGCAGCGGTTCTTTACCAACAGGGATGCTATTACATAGTCGTAACACCCTGCGTACTACCTGCAGAGAATTTCGTCCTTGACGAGTGGGTACGTCGTTCTGATCAAAATCTGCATTGCGCTTAATCCTTGAGATATACCCTATGGTTGCTTGCAATATTCCTCTGGAACTAGCTACCTCGACCCGGGCTTTAAGACACCAAAGCGGCCAGCGTAGTGGCATGCACATAATAATAATTATGCTTCACGAATAACTGGCTGATCTCCGGACGCACTCTTACGCAACAACTCCTTGTGGCCGCTTCGTGTCACCAAGTATCTGGTATCAGTCCTCGGCAGACACGAGCAGCATCACGGGCTCTGTCGTCGTGTCAGGAAACACTTTTTCAATGATCAGGTTGCCAACCTCGTCAATGGCAAAGCGGAACGCTCGCTTGACAGAGCTAACCACCCGTGAGACCACAAGGTCCCCCCCTTGCACCTCCCAGTACGGTACTGGGCTAGAGGCCGTCGAGATGTTCCAGCACACGCTCAGAGCTTTAGGGTCGTTTGGGTATTCCGCCCCCCTCAATAAAAGACCCCCACCATCCATTGTGACATTCGAATAACTGTCACTATATGGGGGTAGGGAAGGCCCGAGTGTGACTGCGGCGCCATCATTCAAGATCAGCGTATTGTTGTAGTTGACGGAGGAATCAGCATACGAAAGAGATCCCGTAATCTCGATGTCACCGTTTAGCACAATCTTCCCAGCCGCACCCGCACGAATTACGAGGTCCGTGGAATACTCGCTCTGAATGAAATCCGCAGCCAGCCACGAGGAAGCCGTGGGATTTATGAGACCTCCTGTGATCAGATTGCGCTCGACGACCAAGTCGCTGGCAACGACGACCTGCTTGCCGGCAGGTGCAGCTAATGTCAGGTCGGCGCTGGAGCCATCGGGCAGGGACGCAGACGACAAGAAGTTGCCCAGGAAATTCTGGGCCCTGATCGTACCGACTGGAAATGACATGGTTACAGTAGACGACGATTTAAAGATGATGAGCATGCCATTGGGCGCTGCACTTCTTGGAATTCCCAAACGGGTTCCTCAGGATGTGGTTATGCTGCCAACACATCGGCAGCTCCATGCAGCTCCTCCTCGAACATGCATTATGAGACGCGGCGCTGACCACTGCACATGTACCATCCGTGTCCGGTGTAAGTTTCGAAGCTACGGTTGCTGACGGAAGTTCTCGATTTGCTTGATGAAACTGATGAAGCGCATCATCATACTGCGTCTCTGGGGTCCGTTTACATACGTTTCTATAAGCAGGTCGGCCACCAACTTGGGGTTCGATATACCGAAGCGCATGCACAATAACGAAACGATGCAAACCAATATTCCACAAACGCCTCGAGGATCGATATCGTCTTGTTGGAAACGGCGCTGTATTGACTGATTCCAGTGGACCCACTCTAGGTCCTGCGTCACCGCACGGAATCCTGGAAGCAAGGCTGTAGGTCGGGGATTCTGGGAGAGAGCCGCTGTCCAATTCCCCATCCATCTATCCAAACCGGTGTCTGGGTCAAAAATCTGTAAGTCTTCGTCTTGAAATCAAAAACGATGGCACATGCGTGACCTGCCCGGTTGGGGTCATTGGTTTCCCCTCGGACGAAGCTCAATATGATCATGAGGATAGCAATCCGCAGCTTCTGTTCGTTTGAGCACACCGTGAGTCTATTTTTCACGGCCTCAGATAGCTTCAACTTTCGCACGGCCTCATTTAAGTCGTCCTGAGCGGGATGCGTCGGAAGTACTGATCGGGGCACAAGAGGGCAGAGCAGTCCCAAGTGTTGTCGACCACGTAGTTCTTTCCCATGTGGCCGAATGTCCTTGGGTCTTCTCCGAGGGCGACGGGCCCGTCGCTATGTTTGATGATCTTCCAGGTATCGGGGCTCACATAGCAGCGGCCCAGTGCCCTCCAATCGAAACGTACCCTGTAGTAGGCCTCCAGCATGTCGATGCCCTCCATTGTTCGCATCGAGTAAAACACACTGAGGGGCTCCGTTGCGAGGGTAGTCTCATACTCGAACCGCACATTTGGGAGGGACACTTTGGAGACATCCATTTTAAGGTAATATGCCCCCGAGCTCTGCCTAAATGGGCGCTGTGTTTGAAACGGGTGCAAAAAATATCCGTCATTAGTATCGACCCTGGAAATGGCGGGTTCGTACGAGCATGTCTGCCTTTCCGCAGGGGGGCTCAAGTTTCACCTCCATCTCGGCGCTTTGCAATACCTGGAGGATGCGGGAATAACACCAGCTGCCTATGCAGGAAGCAGCTGCGGAGCCGCCGTCGCTGCCCTCATGGTTGCTGGATACCGCCCCCGGCAGGTCCATGATATATGCAAGAGGCACCCACTCTCCATGTTCAAGTTGTCCAGACCGGTGAGGTGGGGCGTGTGCAAGCCCGCTGGTCGGGACGAAGTACGCGGCTTGCTCAGGATGCGGAGCGGTGGGCACAATAACAGAGACCCTACGTTCCAACAGCTGGCCGATGAAACCGGGAAACGACTCTACCTGACGGCAACCAGGGTCCGCGATGGCGAACTCGTGATTTTCGGTGCCGATGAGAGCACCATGGATGTCCCTGTGCACCGAGCAGTTACTGCCAGCTGCAGCATACCCTTCATGAATCCGGCCACTGAGATAGATGGGGATCTCTATGTAGACGGAGCTCTGAGCTCGTACCTGCCCATGCGCGCTTTTGAGAGCGTAGATGACAAGCGCACCGTAATCGGCCTCATGATCGCCGACTCCGCGAAGAGACTCACTAAAGCAGAAACTTTCGAAGAGTACTCGGGTTCCCTCGCTGACATGATCCTCCGGAAATTGTGCTCGGAAGAGAGCACATGGAGCGGGGATAGAACGGTTGCATTTGGGAAGAACAAACTAGCAGACATTGGTTTGTTTGCGAGCCCAAACGAGGTCCAAGCGGACAGTATGTTCGAGGATGGTCTCTCCTGCATGCAGGATTTCATGAAAAATGAAATAACAGGAGCCAACTAAATTGAGCGCATCTTCGAGCATAGAACGAACAGAGTATTCCACCACTCATATGGGGTTTGACTCTATATGAGTGGTTTGTAGAAAACTAAGTTAAAACTTGCAAACGGTGATTCTAGTAACAAATTCTATCATCTGCTCTTGCCACTTCAAGCATTCTCTAGCGCTGCGATTCTGGCAGCAAGTGATGCCACCAAGTCTCTGAGGACTTGAATCTCCTCGTCTTTCTGTCCGCGGAGTTCCTTGAAGGCTTCGACCACGTTCGCGTGGAAGGCTGTCCCAATGCCGTATGATTTAACTCCATCTGGGCACAGCTCCGCTTCTTCTGGGCACTGTGCCTCTCCCGAACATGACAACTCTGGGAAGTCCTCTTCGATCTCCTGGGCGATGAAACCAATCACGTTCTTGTCCCCGTTATGGGCTTCTGGGTACTTATAGTCGAAGATGCGGCCGGTCATCCCACATATCCTGTCCAGGGCCCCGGTGATGGGCCGGATGTTGGTTTTGACGCGCTCGTCGGAGCTTATTGCTGCAATTGCCGTGTTCTGAGCGTAGATCTGGCCGGCGTTGCTGAAAAAGACACGCCTGGTGAAGAATGACGTCGTGTATTGGCTTGCGGTCCCACTGCTCTGTTGGTAGAAACTGAGGTTGTAGCCTCCCGTGGTCATCTTCCACTTTGCATTGACGATGTCGTCGAGGACGAAACCGGCCCCTGCAGTGCCAGACCCCAGGATGAGAGTATTGTCGTCGGCGTTGGGGTTGGCAAACATATGGTAGGGCGCCAGGGGCGTAAACGCCGAAGTGGAGCTGGCCGTGAAGCCGGCATTGCCCGTGCTGTAGCGCGTACCGCTGAAGTACTGGTTCCTCCAGGCCAGAGCAGAGGTGCCCACATCATAGGAGGCGGTGGTTTCAGGATTGACAGCGGTGCATGCAATGGACCCTGCGGAGATGCTATTGCCCTGTGCCGCGATCGCCCCGCAAGTGATGTTCCCGGAGGTTAGGGCGCCTGTCACTCTTGCTGTCCCAGAGACGTCCAGGTTATAAGAGGGGTTCGTATTGTTGATCCCGACCTGTGCGCTCGTGTTGATGGTGATGGCCGATGTGGTAAAGACCGCACTGTTCGCTGCAGCGACGCCCGCCACGAACCGCAGCGTTCCCCCCATCTTGCGGATCCCAAACGAACCGGTCGACGAGGCGCTCGTATCAGACCCATTGTACCACATGTCAAAGAAGAGCGCGATGTTGTCGTGTGTCCAGTTGAACTGCTGGAACATGGGATAGTTGTCTGCTGCAGAGTACGCATATGAGCTAGCCATGCCCGACAGACTGCTGTCGGCTTTGTTCTTGGTAACGAGACCCGACGACGAAGTGAGAGTGCCGCAGGAGATGGCGCCCGAATTTGCGGAACCAGTCAGGACCGCACTCCCGTTGTAAGTGAAACTGTTGAAGGAAGTCGTCATCGTGCTGTACTCGTTGACCTGTCCTAGGACGCTCATGACGGACGGCGTGACGATGTTCCCAGATGGCGTGACATCCCCGTCTGTAGGCTCGTAGCTCGTAACATTGGTCCCCGCGGCTTCGACGCTGAGGTCCCAGCAGACGAACGACTGGATGGTGTGGATATATATGTTGAAGCTGCTGTCAGCTTCCATGACCACCGCGATGTCCACAGCTGCCTTCGCACTGGCTACGCCTCCGTATGCGCTGCCGCGAACCGAGTACAAACTGCGCGAAGAGATGGTACAATCGATGACCGCCATCTGGTCTGATCCAAACCCGCCTATGGCGCCGGAGATGTGGACGCTACCACCGTTGGCCCCGCTGGAGGCCGCTAAAATGGAGGCAATCCTATAGTACTTCCCTGAATTGCCGTATACGTTCTGCGTCATCGCATTCCAATGCTTTCTCGGCAATCCCGAGTACGATGAGGCCGTCACCTTGCCGGTGAGCATGGCGTTCCTCCAGTAGTTTCCGTCGGATCCAATGTCATTCGTGCCATGGTCGACGGGCAAGAGCAGGCTGCTAAAGATCGTGCCGCAGGCGATCCCGCCGCCCCCTGTGTCCACAAAATTGCCGTTCGTCGAGACGGCGCCGCTTGTGGACAAGCTCCCGCATGAGAGTGCCCCGGTGTATCGCCCCGTTCCGGAGACATCTAGGGTATACTGCGGCGAGGCCGTGCATATGCCGAAGTTTCCGTTGGCGCAGATGTTGAAGGATCCCGTTCCGACACTCTTCCCTTGAATCCCGTACGCCGCATAATTGGACGACGATCCAGCACCTCCTGCGTTCATGAATAGATACCAAGCGGCGTTGTTCGCTGCGCTCGATACACCAAAGTAACTTACGTTGAAGTTCCCGGTCGCCAGCGCCGACGCATAGTTCGTCGACGCGATAGCGCTCCCAGCGCCCGACGATGTAAGGTTGAGGCCCGTGCACGTGACAATTCCGCCGGAGATACTTCCTCCCACCGTGAGCGCAGATCCCTTCGTGAGGAACTTGTTCGACCCGCACAAAGTATTGAAACTGTTGGACGACAGCACAGAGGCCAGCGTGGAATCCGCCGTCATGAGCTGCGCATTTGTGGGTGCGTAAGCGAGGGCGAACGCCGTACTCGGATAGATGGTCAGCCCGTTGCCCTCAAATTGCGTGCACGTGACGTCCAGGCTCATCGTCATATAGGTCATTGCCTGCTTGGCGTAGACGTATAGCGCCGTCCCGCTATTGTCCACGTACAGGGCGATATCGAACTGACCGCTCGCAAACGGATCGTTGGCGCCGTCGGCCGAGTCCAGGGTCAGCGAGGCGTTGAAACTCGGATTCTGTGTGTGGAAGCCGATATTGGCGGTGAAACGGACTGGGCTACTAACGCATGCAAGGGTCCCCACCACGGTAATCGCCCCAGAGACGTAACTTCCGTTGGTGAGGAAGGTCGCGAGCTTATACCACGCTGGGGTTGAGTATGACGGGCTCGCAGTGACGGTCAACGTCCGTTTAACAAAGGAACCTCCCGTGAGGGTGTTCGTCGTCCCGGAGAACGCCCCGGCGCCGGACACGGAGCCGGTTCCCGCATTGACATTCGAATTATTTGTAGAGATGGGACCACAATCCAAAGCGGATAGATAAGCGGTGCCTGTCACCCGTACAGACGATGATCCGATCCCCCCTTTGATGAAAAGGTTTCCGCTGTCCCCAGCAATTGACATAAGACACTGCTCGGACGAGTTCTCCCAGATGAAACCTGTTGTCGAGCTATTGAAAACTCGATTGCGGATGTGGTAGGATGTCCTACTGTCCAACGAGGCGCACGCACTTCCGTTTGCACCGGACTTGTTAGCACCCGACCCGCACATGTAGCCTTTCCAATTTGCATCACCGGATGCCCAATAGTGGATGCCCCTGCTTGCCCCTGAATCGGTCGAATCGTTTATGGTGACGATCCCGGGCATCGAGACGCCCTGCCCGGCCCCGGTGGTGAGCCCACCCGATACTCCAAGCGACCCCGTACACGAAATGGCTCCCGTGTTGAGAGTTCCCGACGAGTTTATCGAGACGGCGCTGGTGCCAAGACTGGAGGACGTGGAGCCGACGTAGAATGTGTGCGCCCCGCCGGTCTGGTACGCCATGATAGCATTTGAAGCGCCTATCCCATACCAACTTCCTGTAGAGGTGTACAATCCGAGCTGTTTGTTGCCGCCTGTTTGCCCAAAGTCCAGGGAACACGTCGGAGCCGCGGTGCCGATGCCCACGTAGCTGTTGGCCTGCGCTATGGATGTGGTGGAGGCGTACGCATAAGTCGCCCAGTTGGCGTCGGTATATTGCGCGTTCGCCACGGTACTCGTTACCGTGGGTATGTCCCCTTGCGAGTACGTCGCCGAGAGGGTGAGCGTGACGGTTGAGGCGACGCTAGGTGAGGAGTGGACGAGCCGCAGCTTGGTGGTAGATCCATTTCCCGAAATTTGGAGCTCGTACTCGTCCGGGTTGCCGTTGTAGGCGCTCAGCGGCATGCATCTGCGCCAGGCGGAGGTCGTTAGATTGTGGCCGGCCGCGAACGAGTATTTCTTCACCATCGTCTGGAACGATCCGGAAGTGGCTACCGTGACGTCGAACGCCACGGAGCCGGTAGTCCCGACGAACGTGACGATGTCCCTGACCCCATTCGCCGTGGTGTCAAAAGTGGCCGTGTATGACCGCAGTGTTCGTCCCGGAGCTATCACGTTGCCGCAGTCGACGTCGTTCAAGTACGCGGTTCCGCCGACGCGCACGGTGCTGGAACCTATGGTGCCCTTGATGAACAGGTTGCCGGTGTCTCCGGTGAGGGACAATGATCAGGCACTGCTCGCTCGCATTCTCCCAAAGGAAACCATAAGTAGACGAGGCGCCCACGCGGTTTCGGAGATGGTGAGAGGTTCGGCCATCCAGCGAGGCGCAAGTTGTGCCAGTAAGTGTGCTCTTGCTTGCTCCAGCCGTTGTCATGTAGGTGGCCCAGTCTGAGTTGCCTGCGTCCCACCACCGCGCACCTCTCGCGACTCCGCTGTCGGTCTGATTTTTGACAACCAGAATCCCAGGCATATTGTTCGTTAGTCCTGATGTACTGCTCACACTCGACCCGCTCAATGCACTAGAGAACGTGCCACTCGTGGCACTGATCGCCTGACCGACATAGGAACCCGTCGAGTGGTTTAGGGTAACCTGATTGTTGGCCAGGGTCACGTTGCCGGTTGCCAGATCCAATATGAAGGGCCTGAGTGCGTTGAAAGAGCCCGACGAGTCGTTCGACGATGTTGCCAACATGTAGTAGCTCATACCGTCCGAGTAGCTGACAAAGCCTCGAGCACCCTGTGTGCACTGCGAGAATACGCTAGCGCTCGTCTTCACGGTCGTCGCAGAGACGGCCCCACTGTACGTGCCAGTAGTTCCGCTCACGGCCCCCGAGAAAGTTCCAGTAGTTCCGGAGATTGCGCCCGAGAACGTCCCCGAAGCAGCATTGAGAGCGCCTGTACTGCCTATGGTTGCAGCCACTTGCTCAAACGCAGGAACCCCACTGTAGGAGACAAACTCCCAGCCGCCCCCTCCCGTCCCCCTTGCGTTCGCCAGGGTCGTCATCCCCAAACCACCGTTCCTGTTCCACGTTAAGTATGCACCCTGCTGGGTTGGTGCAGCGAAACCCCCGCTGAGTATCGGTCCCGGTGAATACACGCTCGAGAAGATTGCCGCCCCGCCCCCTATGTTTCCACAATTGAGTGTGCCGGTTGTGGCGATGTTGGTGGACCCAAACGCCCCCACGATAAATGAGCCCGTGGTGATCTTGGAGGCATCCAAGTTTGGGATGTTGTTGGTAGCCAGGCTTCCACTGATAGCCGCAGCACCGATGGATGATGTTGGGAAGCTGACCGTTCCACCTGCGATGGTGAGACCATTCGTAGCTCTCAAACCACCCGTGACGTCCAGGGCACAAGATGGATTGGTATTTGCGATTCCAACATTGAAAGTGGCATCGTTGAAAAAGAGTGGGCCGCCGAAAGAATTTGCACCAATTTCGCTCTGATCGTAGGCTAAGCTGGCTGCCGGTATATCCTGCTGAGCAATTGTTCCGGCGCCGGTGGTCGACCACTGCACTCTCAGAGCCTCCCCCCCACCCGTCTGCGTATGGAAGATGTACAGCGGCTTCCAGCCAGTGGATGCGAACGTGTAATTCTGGCTGGTCTGTGTGCCGGTATAAGAATTTTGGGCGATCACCAATGCGCCGTCGATGTATATATATGTGGTGTCATCCTGGATGTGTGACGGTTGGACAGGGTTTACACGCTGCCTGTCTACTTCACATGTGCGGAAACCATGCGAAGCTTTTCAGCACGCCTTGGGATCACCTCAGCAAGAGCGCCTCTCAGAAAAATTGCGTCTTCTTGCCTTCTTCCCAAAGACTGATTAGTTAGGACTCACGAAGAGGCTCCATATTCAGTCAAAGAGTCTCGAGACTCGCACCTCGCAAGGCACTTGCTTCTTTAC